ACAAAACTCAGAAGCTCTGATCCAATTCGGGCGTTCTGCTCTCCCAAAATTTCATCCACTGAGCGGCGCTGTGATCAAAAAATGACACCGTTTGTTGCCCAGTTCACTTCCGGTTGATTTCATACAATGGCGAATATGGCTCACGAAAACAACAAACGATTGACAGTGCCTGAATTGCGTGAAAGGTTGAAGCGAAAGGGTATTTGCAGTGTGGGAAAACGAAAGGAGGAATTGTTGTTGCTAGTTCAACGAGCGGATGGTGTTTATGAAGATTTAGAAGAAGATGACAGCGAGCAGAGTGAACGAAAACGGCTGTGTGTGCGAGTGACAGATGGTAACAATGAGAATGAAGTTCAGCTAAGAGGGAAGAATGTGAATTGGACGGATGATTTGCGCGATATGCCACTAGTTAGAGACGGGAATGTATTTGCATACAGAAAATGACGAAAACACTCAACCATTTAGAGAAAATGCGCCGGGCAGAGAGAACAGGAAGTTGCGAAGGCAAGTGTTACCCATAATGCAACGCAAAATTCAGTCGCTCCCCCGCCCATCGGATGGAATTTTGGGAGAGCAGAACGCCCGAATTGATTTTGTTTTAACTATTAGAAAAAATCCTTAACTCATTCAGTCTACAGCTGAGTTTAGTGTAGAAGGCAACACACTATTGCAAATATAGTGTGTGATTACACAACAAATTCTGGGGGAGAAACTCTGGACCCCGTGTCAATGGGTGTAGACTCAGGTCGTAGTGAATGTCCCCACCAAGATTGGAACCAAACCTACACCATTGCTCAACCTAGCGGACTTCTTCAGGGAATGAATTCTCGGACCGCGCGTTGGAGATTTATAACCTATGGGTGTGGTTAGCCTCAAACCAATTCTTCTCCCAAGAATTGGTTTGAGAGAGGAGTGAAAGAAGCCATTTTTGTGAGGAAACAAAAACCTTCTCTTAACAGAGGAGGAGGGTTAAGATTTGTTTTGCCTCGCATCTATGACGACATCCTAAAAACAACGCCCTAACTTGGGACAAGGTCAGTGACATGCTAATGAGTTAGGAGGGGTGAGACCTGCACTCCACTTGAGCATCCCAGCAGACAATAGGTCTGTGACATGCTAAGGAGTTAGGGTCGTTAGCCTCAGCAGGGTCGTTAGACCTGCTCCCTTCTACATCAAGCAGAC